TAAACAGTAAATTAACATATAAAACTAACTTTAAGCTTCTTTCCAATAGTCTTGCTACAACTATTCTTAACTTTTCTCAGCCGGTCAGTTGTTGATCGAGCTTCGAGAGAACATTAAAGTTAACATTATAGGTACCTTTGCGCCACTGATTGTCGAAATCAATAATTTTGTCTACATCCTCGGGATTCTTATAACGTTTCCTCTGGCTATCGCGGACCTTTTCGGGATCTCCACCCTTATCGACACGGAATAGATCGATCGAGAGAACCATGCCACCAAGTGCACGAGTTTACGAAATCGAAACGCAAAGACGAAACGTATATAAATTCAGTTCGGCCTAATGTTCAGGATCGGAAATTTTTGCAACAATCCGAACTACTGGATATGTTATTGTTGTTGTGCTAGAGTCGACGCGGGCTTGAACACAAATGAAACACTTGGGTGTTCAGAACAAGGTGAGACGAAAGTTTACGAATGAATACAGGGAAAATAAATAGCAGCAATCGCAAACAGTGTGTAATTAGAAATAATAATAATAATAAATCTGCAAATGGGAATCGAAATGCCATTAAGCGGTGAATCGAAAAATACGAAAAACTTGAAATAGAATAGCAAACAACGGGGAAAACTAACATAAGACAATTTCTGGCTGCTCATTTTTAGTGTACTAGCCAAAGGAATGTGGTTTGCCTAATATGGATCTGTTTCTCCGTATTACGGAAATCGGCTGCCTAAGTACATGCAAATATGATTCAAAACTTGAAAATAAGCCCGTGCTATTATCTGGAATTAGGATAATGGCATTAACAATAAAAGAGACATGAAGAGGTGAATATACCGCACCTGCTGTCTGGCGTATAAGCCCGGCTAATGTGGATTATTATTCCACTTTTTCAAGGGCCTATTTCAGCCAAATTCAGCTACTAAGCCCTGAGTGGGAGTAGTTAAAAGAGGGTTTTATGAATGTTTAGCAAGCAGAGCTACCGGTGACTAATTAAAACGTTACAAAGTAAGGACCGGACAAATGGTGCACGTACAGGCAGAAATTCTTCAGAGGGGAAATTAACCATCGCAAAGTTGCAATAGATATTCGTTCCAGTTTTACCTTAAGGCTCGCTCTTGGATGTCTTTCTGTCTACGAATAATTGACTAGAATAAAACAGGTTGACATTATAATACAAAGTATGTGGGGTATATACAAAATGACAAATGGGATCAAACGGCATCGGCAACCATAGACACGTATCGTAACTTTACTAGATCACTAAATGGAAACAGTTCCTAATCTGTGCCATCATTATTAAGTTTCGGCGTTGCCATTATCAATTGCGAAGTCTATTTTTAATAGGTGTCGGTGATGCATTGTCATTTCCGATTCCGAAATTAACGATGGCCGTTCACGTTACTACAATTGTCTAGTTCCAGTGAATCGAACTACCATCTTTTATTTCTTTTGCTTGGCCTTTTCCAACTATAGGTGATTATATTTGTACTGATGTCCAAGAACAAGGGACTTATTAATTGTGTTTTTTTCCATCCCTATCCGTTTTTGCAACTTGTACCCAATTCTGCAGGCTCTTCCCGTAAGACGGTACTTTTTACAAGTACTTCCACTTGACCGGATGCCGCCGATTTCGTATGGGGCGACGAGGCACTTTTGATGTTATGCCCACAACACAAACGCCTTCTGCCTATGCCTGTAACGCTTATTCAAAGTCATCAGGAGGGTTTGGCTGATTTGAATAATTCATTATCACGATCAATTCAGTTTACCCAATTGTACAAGCTTCGGGGCCTCGGTGGGATTCGAACCCACAGAGCAAGGAAGACTTTAGTACAGTCAAGGCTCTACCTCTGAGCTACAAAGGCAAGCCTAAGTTTTGTATTCAATCGCATTTGAGTCGATTTACCTCTTATTCAAAGGTAAGGATACCTTATGAGGTTGCCTAATAGGTTGTATTATGCGTTAGTACCTACTTACCGATTTCAGTAGAAATGCCTTGCTTGTCCAGTTTCCGTGTTCGACTTCCGCGCACCGACCCTTTTTGATTAAGATCTCTGGATGTGGGCGGGGTTTGGGCAAGGGTTCCTCGTATGGTCGCCCAGTGGCAAAAGTCTTCCCGCCCAAGTTTCTTACGCAATCCTGGTTAAAGGATTAAAGCTTGTATAGGGCGTGGTAAACGCATGTTTAATGGGAGATAATTGTACATTAGGAACTAAATCAGAGCCATTTGTAATTGTTTTACTGAACAAAACAAATAGGTTAAAATTTTGCGTATAGGACAAAATCGAACCAAATGCACCCCTATTAGTGAACAAAGAATGCCCATAGGCGAATAACACTCTTAGAACAACTCCTATTGGTTTGTACAATAAAGGGAGTGTTTGGATAAGCGGGAATTCGCACTACTGAAAAGGTGTAAGTATGTTTTACTTATAGAAGCTCCCCTATAGACGGCTGTAATAAAAATAACTACATAAAATTCACCGCCTTAACTCATCCTCCATTCTCAGACTGTCCTTGTAGAGACCGACGAGACAATTCCCGACGAAGGTGCCGAGGACCATCCCTGATTGGAAGACGGTCTCAATTCCGGTTTCATCCGAAGCGTGAGCCGCGTGACGTTCTGTTTTTTTTCCTCCCCTAACGTTTGTTATCCCCACACTGTTCGTGCCTTGATACGTCTGCTTCCCGTCCAAATAAATATCTTTTCGCCATCAGGGCTTCTGAATATAACGTTGTGCTAGTCCGCTTGCTCATTACACAGCCATGCGAGGGACTGTCACCGGGGTTTGATTTACTGAAACGGACGTGAATTAGCTTTTTCTGAGGAGCAGGGGGGCGGGGGCTGGAGATATCGTTTTGAAATGTAAATTGGGGGATGTAGGGCTTAAGGGAGGGATACAATTGTATGCGTAACGAATGAAGCTTTAGGTGGGGGAGATGAAGGGTAAGCATCGACATTACCGATATGAGTTTGGAGTTGAGGTTATGCTTGGAGATTTAAAGCCACAACATTTTGGTTAACATTAAGGTTTCGAGATATAATACCAGTTTTCGCTTGGAAAACATAATGGGTTCGCTTTTCTGATAAAGCTTTCGGTGTTTGCTGCTGTGGGGCTCTAGCCCCGCCTTTTCCTGAATCGTCCTGCATCCGCGGTATCCAGGCTTGGATGACATTTTCAGAGTGTAGTCTTATAAAGATACCGAAGATTTTCGAAAAGTAGTCTTGATCAAAAAAGTTGAATGCCCGCTTGACGGTATGCAACAGTAAAGTTGCAGTTTTAGCTACCTATATAACGTGACCACAAAAAGGTATCAACCAAGCCCGATTCCATTTAATCCCTAATTTTTTCCAACAGTCTTGCAGGCTTGCGGTACTTTCAAGACTCTCAGTTTTGTTGTAGAATTTCGAACAAAAACACATTGAATGGAATGTCCAGCATTCAAAACGTTTATTTTGCATGTTTGTTTTTCAATTTTTACAATTAGTTAGCTTTATCCGGCATTTTCTTTTTTCATTTCATGCTTTATTATACGGAACGGAAGTTCATCACTTTTTACGATTCGGGCATGTTTCGAACAATATCACCGAGTGAAAAGTTTTGCAGGCTGCCATAGAACATATTATTAAGAATGTCTATCACAGGCGTCGTTGATAAATTAAATGACAAGGATATGCACAACTGAATGACCGTTACCCGTTCTCGGCCGAAGCGTCGTTCTATGACAGTCGTTGTCCCGAGGTACGAACCTCGCATCAGTTGACAGTAAATAATGCATTCAATCTTGTACTAACGAGTTTGCCTAGTGTCTACTGTTTCATGATGGTAATAAAGCTATCTATAGCTGTATTTATAGGCGGGAGAATGCTATTAAGGCCGCATTCGCGAGGAATGATGTTAGTCTACCTCGAGATCACCAGCATATGTCCTGATCTGGCTAGCGGAACCCGGTGCCTCAGACTGCGATTTCGCTTTCTGTTCAAAATATGTCTTGCTTTTCACATTTTCTTATGAAATTCGGCATGGAGACTATGGCGGTCCAAGAGGCCCAATTAATCAGATGCTATATAGTTATTCAAACCACCTCGTCCCCTTATTAGGACTGAGTTGATGGACATTAACAAGATGGTACGCGGCAAATATGCAATTACAATCCTTACGAACCAACATGGTAAGTGGAGCGGAACTCTCGAAACCAATCACAAATGACCTGCATTTAGCCATCCCACTTAAACTGTCTGTGTACTGTCCCTATCCGGAAAATGCTTGATTAACAAAGAAAGAAAATTTCCTTCCCTTCTTGCTCTGAGTGTACAACGCGCACAGCTAACAGCCTATCCGCCTTAAGTTCGTATTAACTAACTGTTGCACATCACCATCGTCCCAAAGAAGTTTCTTTGCCAGTCCACATCACATTGATTGTTCTGCGCACCCCATATGGATCACCAAGAGTTCCCTGTCTGCACTAGGCATGCTATAATCTCCGTGAGTACCCGATATCAGCCTAAGACCTCTCTCCGAACAACTAAGGTGAAGACACTGCCACTTCCCCTCGGCCCCACTGGCAGTTTAAAAATAAATAAATAAATTTTATAAATTTTATATATTTTATATTTTAGGCCCGGAGGGCCTCGTCATTGCAAACTTAG